TCGATCGGATTAATGGGGATCGAATCCAGCGCAACAACCTATTCGTAATTTCCATAGATTTCAAAAAAAAAAAAACGAAAAAAAAGGTGGGAGAACTTTGGTTCTCTCCCACCAATCATCCCTGCCCACATTAGTGACAATTGAATCCAGCGCAGCAACCTGTTCGTCATTTCCATAGATTTAAAAATAAAAAAAAAAACGAAAAAAGGTGGGAGATCTTTGGTTCTCTCCCACCAATCATCCCTGCCCACATTAGTGGGGATCGTATCCAGCGCAGCAACTTGTTCGTCATTTCCATAGATTTAAACAAAATAAAAAACGAAAAAAAAGGTGGGAGATCTATGGTTCTCTCCCACCAATCAGGCCTGCCCACATTAGTGGGGATCGAATCCAGCGCAGCAACCTGTTCATCATTTCCATAGATTTAAAAAAAAAAAAAAACGAAAAAAAAGGTGGGAGATCTATGGTCCTCTCCCACCAATCAGGCCTGCCCACATTAGTGGGGATCGAATCCAGCGCTTCGATTTTTCTACATATTTCAAATATATATATATATATATATATACATAAGAAAGGTGGCACCTCACACCTCCTCGTACCTTTGGTCGCCATGGCCGATTCACACGCTGTATGGAAGCACATGCTGGACGTCTCTCTCTCTCTCTCTCTCTCTCTCTCTCGCGCGCGCGCGCGCGCGCGCGCTTGCGCGCACGAGCCCTCGCTCTGCAGCAATTTGTCTCAGGGCCAAAAGCAATGGAGCACATGCAAATAATGCACGAGGACTCTGCATTCGACTAGCACAAAAGCATGGAAAACGGTCACGAAACAAGGCCCGCACCCAGTACCGGTTTTTAGGGCCAAGAAACCAGGCCGGCACCCAGTACTGGATTTCGAAAATAATGGCATGGCCTCAAAGGGCCCACTCTCTTATTTCCGGAATTCGTGTTCGGCGAACTGGCCTGCAAATTAGCCCACATTTTCATATGCACCACAAACATTTTCATACGTCGGCCAACGCCCGCCGCCGTGCGCAATTGCCCTGCGTTACTGCATTGCCCTGCGTTACTGCATTGCCCTGCGCCCACCGGCCATCGCTCACCACCCAGTGGCCTGTCCCTAGTCTTTCATACGTCGGCCATTGCCCGCCGCCGTGCTCCATTGCCCTGCGCTACTGCATTGCCCAGCGCCCACTGGCCAGCGCTCACCACCCCGTGGCTTGTGCCTAGTCGACGACCGCCCGTCGCCCACCGCCTACCCGCATTCGACAGGTGAGCTCTCTCTCTCTCTCTCTCTCTCTCTCTCTCTCTCTCTCTCTCTCTCTCTCTCTCTCTCTCTCTCTCT